TGGCATGCAGGAGGCCAGCACACAGATCACTCACAGTGGGGCGGCCCTAGCTGGGAGGGGGCTGCTCAGAACCCCTTCTCCACTCCTCTGTGCCTCAGAGGTCCCACAGCCCCAGAACCCTGCAGAGTAGCTTGAAAACTCCCTGGATCAGGGATGAGGAGAGGGTCTTCCGGGAAGACAGAAGGAAATTCAAGTGCAGACACAGAGTTGTCCTGGAAATGCAGTTTGTGCAGCTCACACACAGGAAGGTTCTTTTCAGCCCTCCTGGACCAGCGCTTATGGTGCCCTGACCTGCTGCCCCTCTCAGCAGTGTCACCAGGTGACAACACAGACCTCACCCACGCCCCTGCCTGGTCCTAATTCCAAATTTCCTATCACCCCTGACTTTGCAAGGATGCAGAATAGATCAGCTGCCCCTATGGGCTGGATGGGGTTGGATGGGCCCCCTACATCTGGAGAAGGCATGATCAATGGAGAAGCGATGGCAGTGTGCCTAGGGATCTGCCCAAGATGGCACAGCGAGGGAGGAGGGGTTCCTTCTGGGACTTGCCCCACCCCTTGCCCCATAGAGGGGGACAGACCCCAAAGTGTCAGTAGTACAGAGGGAGCCCTAGCCGGTTTGGCTCAGTGGATAGAGTGTCGGCCTGCAGACTGAAGAGTCCCAGGTTCAATTCCAGCCAAGGGCACATGCCTGGGTTGTGGGCTGGATTCCCAATAGGGGGCCTGTAGAAGGCAGCCAATCAATGATTCTCATCATTAACATTTCTAGCTCTCTCTCCCTCTCCCTTCCTCTCCAAAGTCAATAATAATAATGCAGAGGGAATTTGGTGGGTCCTTTTCCCAGCCTAGGTTGTAAGTGCACTAGGAAGGGGTCCAGGTGGGAGCTGGGATGCACGGCAGGCACAGCCTGTGCGAGGCCCCCGGCTGAGGAAAACTGGCGATTTAGAGGATTAAGGGGCCAGAGGGCTGGGTGCTGGTGGGATTAAAGTCCCCTGGAGCCTCTCCCCACCGCAGCTCTTTTCAAGGCTGAGGCAGGTGGGAGGGGCCCCTCACTGTCTTTCTCCCTCCTCTGGCCAGCATCCTCCACTCAGGCTGAATGTGGGCTTGGCCTCCCCCGCCCTCCACAGCACTGGGCCCTATTCAGGAGGCAGCTGCCAGGATGCTCCCCACTCCCGACGCCCCGCTGAGCCCCTGCCTGCGGTCCATTCACAGCCTCATTCACCAGCCCCAGTCAGGCTGCCTCCAACCGACTCATCCCAAGAGCACCCCGCTGCCGAAAGTGGGTGAATGCAGGGCCTGGGACTCCCGGGACAGAGAGCTTTGGGGCCTTGAGCGCACTGTTAAAGAAATTTCATTTGTAGGGTTTGTATCCCCAAAAGCTCCAAGCCACGGGACTGGTATGTTCTCATCGCCCATAGCTTGCCTTGAGGGAAGGGTGTCACAAGGGACAGCCAATCCCCATCACAGGGGTGCTCCCTGCTTTGCTGTGAATGGGGCAGTTGGAGCTGGACATCGAGTCCCTGTGACCCTGGGTCCTGGAGAGTGTTGGCCTGCCTTTGCGTCAAACCACCATGACCCGAGGGGATGTGACCCTGCTTGACAGGTGACTATGGCTCCAGCAAGTTACCCTAAAGTACACAAACCAGTTAGTGGCAGAGACAAGAGTGGGATTTTGCCTTGCGCCTTGCAGACTCCTAGGAAGCTCTGAGCTGCCTTCCTGGGCAATGGGATCTACCTCCTTCCTTTACACATCCTCTCTCAGGCTTTCCCTATGTCTCTTCTCCCTTCGTCTCCCTCTCTCTGCCTCCCACCTGCCCCTGTGCCCACTGCCCACTGTCAGCCTCTGCTCTTGTCCTCATCGTCCCTGGTTCTTGGCAGGGCGCGGGGGGGGGGGGGGGGGCGGGGAGTTGGAAGGTGCTCTGTGTACATTTGTGGAGCCCAAGCAGCCGCCCTGCCCCTGCCTCTCCCTCCCCACTAGTGAGCCTCCTGCATCCCTGAGGCATCATTATTAGGGTAGTGATGACCCCATTGTCTGGCCTGTCTGGCCCTGGCACTGAAAGGTAGGGTTTTGGCAGAGAAGGGAGGCTGGGCCTGATTCCAGCTCATCCTCTGCAGTCTGGAGCCTGTAATGTGCTTGGGGCAGGACTGGCAGGCCTTGGTGGGGGGTGGGGGCTTGGGGAGCCCTAGGGCAGCCCCTGTCACTAGGACAACAGCAGGGAGCCCTGGAGGGGGAGGAGGAGGGAGCAGGTGGTCCTTTGTCTGGAGCTGGAATGAAGGAGAGAGGCCCTTGTCTGATCTCAACCCCTTCACCCCACTGCCCCCAACCCCCAAGCCTATAGGCAGCCCCTGAGAAGGGACTGGTATCTCTGCTCCCATGAAATGCAAGGCCGTTGGGCTTCCTCCCCCTCAGCTGAGGCAGGAGACTCCATGCTGTGTGCAGGCCACTGCCCCCCTGCAGTGCTCATGGGGTGGGAGTGGAGGATGGATTTTCCCAGGACTCAGGCCTGCTTCTGAACCCCGCTGTCATCCCGGGTCAGCCCACCCAGCGTGGGAGTCATGTGGAGCCAGGCCAGGCTGGCCAAGGAGACCCTCCCTGGCTGACACTGCCACTTCGCCTCTCCAAGCTTTACTTTCCTGTCTGAGCAATAAGAAAGTCAGAACTGTTACTTTGGTTAAAAAATATATTTTTATTGATTTCAGAGAGGAAGGGCAAGGGAGAGAGAGAGAAACATCAATGATGAGAGAGAATCATGAATCAGCTGCCTCCTACACGCCCCCACTCTGGGGATCAAGCTCACAACCTGGGCATATGCCCTGACCTGGAATCGAACCGTGACCTCCTGGTTCATAGGTCGATGCTCCACCACAGAGCCACGCCAGGCCTGGCAGAACTGTTGCTTTTTGAGGCTCCTTCCTGCCTTAAACATCTCTGTTTAGAGTGGGCCTGTGAGACTCCTAGAGCCCCTCCCCTCCTGGGTCAGCACTCACCTCTTTGATCCTTAAATGTTGCTTCTGAGCAGCAGGGCAGCTCTGGTGGCCAGTGGTGAATAGAGGCAGTAGGAAGCTGCCTGGGTGTGGAGCCCTGGCTCTGCTGACTCCTGGCACTGTGCTCATTTTCCCGTGCCTCTGTTTCCTCATCTGTAATATGGGGATGATAATAGGACCTATTTCATACAGTTGTTATAGGAAGTCCAAGAAATTATATACCTAAGTGCTTACAGCTGTATTTGGCCCCATGGAAACACTCAACACGTATTAGGTATGTTTATTCTTTTCCTTTAAATTGATTTTAGAGAGAAAAGCATCGATGTGTTGTTCCACTTATTTATACATTCATTGGTTGGTTGTTGAACATGCCCTGACCGGGAGATTGAACCCACAACCTTGTCAGTCAGTCTAACCAACTGAGCTATGTGGCCAGGGCCTAGGCATTTTTATTCTTAGTCTTTATGAGTTGGGGTAGCTGAGTTTCCGCAATGCTCTCTCGTGTGAACCACAGTGTGTCGTCTCTGAAAGCTGGTGTTTGGGGTGGAGGGAGGGGACCCACACTGTTAGGCAGACCTCCTTCAGCAGGGCCTCACTCATTGAGTTCTGGGGGGACCGAACTAGCCCATGACTTGTGACTCTTGCCTATTTCTCCTGGCTTGCCTGAGAAATGCTGCACTGAGAAGCAGCCTTCCTAAGATAGTCGTCATTGACCTTATCAAGAAAAGGGGGAAACGTGGATCTGCTTTCTGGGTTCCCATGTCTGTCTCTGTGTCTGTCTGTCTATCTGTCTCTCTCTCTCTACACACACACACACACACACACACACACACACACACACACACTGCCGAGTCTGATTGCCTTCAACAATCTCAGTAACCCATGCAGCCTCTCTAGGATGCAGTGAGCTCATGTGGGGAGGGGCTTGTGAACAGGCAAGCCGTCCCCAGAGTTAGCGTCAGTTCCTAGCAGGGTGGGTGCTATGGGGGGGACACTGGGTGGGTTCTTCGAGGAAAGGGGGGCTATGGAAGAGGGGCAGAAAGGTTATGGATTCTCTGGGAGAGATGAATAAGATCCTTTTCTAACTGAACTGATGGGACTGTCCTTGGGAAACTGGCACCCATCTCTTCATCCGGACCTCCCCTGTGCATTCACCGCACAAATCTTTATTGAGTGTGGATTCTGCCGGCTCGATGCTAAGCACGGGGATATGTTGTGATGCTGCCGTCAGGGAACTGGCAGTCCAGGAAGGAGTCGAAAGGAGACGATTACAGAGCTGTGCGGGGTGGGCGCTGGAGGTCTGTCCCAGGCGCAGACGTGTCTACGAGGAGCCTTTCCGGAGAGGGGACATCCAGTGAGCTGGGAAGGGTGAGTCGGAGGCGAGGGAGAAAGGAATCCTGGGCGGAGGGACCCATGTGTGCAAAGCTGCAGAGGGCAAAAGGGTGATGCCAACAAACAAACAAATCACAGAGCACAGAGCCTTTGGGAGCCCTGCCCTGGCCTGAGGGGGTAGGGGGGTGACTCAGAGGGAGCCAGCAGCCACCTGCAGGGTTGGCAGGCTGTGCTCCCTGCTCCCAGGCCTCGAGCATTCCCCACTGGAGTCCCTCTGGCCCAGGCCCCAGAAGTTCCTCATCTTCCTCTGCTCATCCATCTCCTTTTCATTCCCGCTTTCCTTGTGTCTAGAGTCAGAAGTAAAGGCGGAGAGAAGGGAGTTTAACCTCTCTGAGCCTCAGATTCCTTGTCCACACACCAGACGCTTGGATTAGTGGATCTCGAAGGTCTCCAGGGCCTTCTAGGATTTTACGTGACTGTCCAAGCTTTGTGTGGATGTTCCCCTCGGGGTCCTTGGCAACATCCCAGACCCCACCCGGCCTCTGTTGGCAGAGTTCTGGGGACAGGAGCCGGGGAGTGGTGATGGAGATGGGGTACCTGTGGCAGAGCGAGAGGGGGCCAGAGCCCACTGACACCCCCCCCCCCGCACCCCTCCCCCCCGCTTGTCTGTGCTTCTCCTGTAGTGTGACCCTGGGAACACCGGCTACATCAGCTCAGGCAAGTTCCGCAGCCTCCTGGAGAGCCACAGCTCCAAGCTGGACCCGCACAAAAGGGAGGTGCTCCTGGCTCTGGCCGACAGCCACACCGATGGGCAGATCTGCTACCAGGACTTTGTCAACCTGGTGAGCGCTCTGGGGCCCTTGCTGTTGGGAGGGGCCTGTCCAGGGGTTGTGGTTTAGCCGACCCTTTTGGACAATTAAAGGGATCTCTTGGCCCAGAGCACTGAAAAAGTCCAGGCTTGAGCCAGGTATCACCGAGGACCTGGTTTCTCTTTGCCTCTCAGCTCTGCCTTCTCATCCTCTGAGAAGGCCATTCCAGCCCCTCCCATTGAGGCAGCAAGTGGCTGCCGCTGTTCCAGCGCCCACACCCTCAGGCCTCACCATGCTGGAGAGGAGAGGGGCTCCTGGTGGTAGCTCCCACACAAGCGGTTTGTTTCCTCCCTCCCATGGCCCAGATTGGGTCAGTGGGGATGTGTTGACTGACTCGAACCAATCAGTGCCCACCTCTGGAGCTGGGAGTGGGCTCCCTGCCACTGAAACCAAGTGCTGGGAGTGGGCGGCAGGAGGTCGTTGAGCTGGGAGTGGGCTCCCTGCCACCGAAACCAAGTGCTGGGAATGGGCAGCAGGAGGTCATTGTGACAGGAGAGGAGCTGGGGAGCAGGTGTCGGGAGGCTCAGGCCAGACCTCTCCAGGAGCAGTGGGGCACAGGAGCTCGTCAGACCTGCTGGCAGACGCCCTGGCTTGTGGGGGGGACTGGGGACAAGAGCCCGTGAATCCTGCCCACTGCTCTGACTGAGAGTAGGGACTCCCTCCTCTCTGCTGTGAGGGTTACTGCTGTGTTATTATTGGGGTGAGATTGGAATGGGGTCCAGTGGGGTTCAGCAGGAAGCATGTTACCTGCCACAGGATGGTTGGAATGTCAGTGGACTCTACATGAACTAACAGGATGAATCCAAGGCTGGAGTCTGGCCTTGGTTTCCCTATTGAAATGGGTGGGGACGTCACCTCTCTTCTGTCACTCATTGAGGGGTGAGACAGTGTCCTCTCTTCTGTCACCCGCTGGTGTCAGTAATGGGGGAGCCAGTCCCACTCAGACCTGTCCTGTGCCAGATGGGCTCTCTGATGTGGACACCCAGCTTTGGACCTGCTTTAATTGCCTCTCGGCTGAGGGCCTGCCTTTGCCTAGCGATTACAGGGAGCAGCAGTAGGGCTTTTGGGTTCCACTGCTGTTCAGAATGGACCCAGGGAACAGGCCTTGTAGAGAGCAGGGGTCAGAGCTGAGCTACAGGAGAAGGGGCAGCTGCGATTCATGGGGCAGGCAGTGGAGGTGAACCCTGGGACTCAGAGCCCAGCTGTGCCACCAAAGACCAGGCCACAGGCTTGAGCCTGCACAGGCTCATCCACAGCCCAGCGCAAGCACGTCTGCTGCATCCCCTGCTCAGTCCAGGGCAGCACGAGGGCCTGGCTGGGCCCGGCAGATGCTTCTCTCCAGCAAGGGGTCTATGGGGTCCTCTGTGAACTCAGAGCCACAGGGGACTTGTCACTGTTGAGATTTCTGTCAGTTCAGAGCTGGAGCAGCCAGCTGGAGCCTGGGTTCGTGTGAGCTGGGCTGTCCTGGGGACCAGGACTAAGAGGAGGTCACCAGCCGGGAAGCTCTGGGGAGGGCAGAGAGCTCAGGGCCTGGAGTCAGGCAAACCTGGGTCCCTCTCCTGGCTCTGCCTGTGCCACTCACTGGGAAAGATCTTATGAGCCTGGATTTTACCTCCTTCGGGGTCATTGCAAGGATTCAACGAGGTGAAATATATGAAAGACTTTGTTGTCTGTAGTATTCTTCCAGCAGGTAAACTCTGCCTCCTTCCTGAGCCCTTCCTCATCCCAACCCCCACAGTGCTTTGCCAGGTCTCTCTTGATTGATTGATTGATTGATTGAAGAGAGAAACGTCAACCTGCTGTTCCACTTATTTATGCATTCATTGGTTGATTCTCGTATGTGCCCTGACCGGGGATTGAACCCGCAATCTTGGCTTATGGGGACGATGCTCCAACCAAGTGACCTACCCGGCCAGGGCGCCAGGCTTCTCTTATAGCACAGACCACGTTGTGTCCCAGCTGAGTGTCCAGGGTGGTCACGTGAGGACGTGCAGGTTGTGTTCTGTCCAGGATGCCTGGCAGAGGGGAAAGTGGGGCCTGGAATCTGGCATGGGCTTTGCTCCCCCAGGCCTGGAAGGGGTGAAGCCACCTGGAGGGAGCGGATCCCTATCTACTTGGCAGGAAAGTGCCAATTACCTGGATTCCAGAGGCAGGCAGATCTGGATGTGAATCCTGACTCTGATTTCCTAACGATGGGTCTTTGAGAAATTACTCTCCAAGCTCTGGTCCCCATCTTTATGACATGGGGATAATCCTAGGCACCAGATAACTAAGATGACACCCTCTTTTGCTGCTGTTTATAACCTGTCTCTCCTTATAAGTTCCGTGAGGCCCAAGACCATGGTTCCTCCTGCGCCCAGCACAGTGCTAGGCACACCAGGGGAGCCGGTGAGTGGGGAGTATGTGCTGCTGTACTCAGGCTGAGCCTGACCCCGCAAGGGTCGTCAGGGTGTGACTGCGGGTGTGTTTATGCATGCAGTGCACTCCCGTGTGCATATTCCCACTCGGAGACTGAAAGAAAGGGTGGTAAGTGTGGCTACAAAATACTGCATGCTGGGATCCTGTCTTGGGCTTACCGTGTACCTGGAGCCCCAAGCCCTGTCTGCATTTACAGAACTCCTGAGCCAGTAGGAAGGACCAGACCCGAGCTTTGTAGGTATGGAGGGGAGGAGAATAGGGAATCTTTGGAAGGGCTTCCTCTGGGAAGGCCTGCTGGGGCTTTAAGCCAGACTTTAAGGTAGAGGCAGCAGAATCCAGGAGCGGAAAAGCTGCAGAGGGAGGCTCATTCCACTGTTTGGTCTGAATGCAGATCCTCCCAGCTTCCTTCCCCCGACAGGGCTTCAAACCCCTGTGCCTTGGTCTGCCTGGTGCACCTGGCCAGCCCTCTCTGGACTCCTGCCTCCGGGTTCAGCCTCTTGTCCACCACCGGGCCCACAGTCCCAGGAATACGCTGCTAATCCCCACCCCAGCTGCTGTGGAACAGCCACCCAGGCGGTGCTGTGGGCTCTGGGGTTGGGAGGACTCAGTCTCTAGGACATCTCCTCATAATCAAGGTCTAGAATGTGGTCGTGGAGGGCAGATGAGAGGCAACAGAGGCCTTGGGGCTGGACGTCAGCAGGCTGCTCTGATCTCTGGGAGCCAGGCTGACTGCCGGGTGAGCAGCCAGGGCTCTACTGTGCCGGGCAGCCTCAGGCTGCCAAGGCAGGGTCAGCCCTTAGGCAGAGTTCCATGGCCAGTCACCTGAAAGTACTCAGGAGTGGTGACCTTCCACAGGCACAGCTTTGGGTTCTGGGAGAGTCAGCAAGGGCTGCCCAACCCTTCCCACACAAATGTTTATGAGGACACTAAGTCTTTCTCACCCTCCAGCTCTCACTCAGATATCACCTCCTCCAGGAAGCACTCCCTGACCACCTCGAGACCAGGTTGGGCTCCCTCCCCTGTGCTCCTGCAGCAGCCCTGACTCTGAACTGTGATTGCTGGTTACTTATCTGTCTCGAGCTCCACTGTATCCCCTGGGCCTGGCAATGTGCCTGACACGTAGTAGTTGCTCAGGCAATTGTGATGGATGGATGAGAGATGGGGGGGATGGAAGGAAGGTACTGTGACTATATGAATACAGGCTCAGGAGCCTTACAGGGTGTGAACTTGATGGGTCCTAAAAACTCTCTGTGCTTTGGTTTCCACATCGAGCAAAATGGAGATATTCATAGGCCTTATGTAACAGGTAGACTGACTGCAACAGATGAACCAACAAATGGTGAAGTGCTTAGAACAGCCCCTGACCTGTAAAAGCTCAGTGAATAGTGCTTCTGGTGAGCTATTGTAGAACAGTAAGAAAGGTGGGATCGGGCCTGGTTAAGTCTAAGGATTGTGCTGGCCGGGAAGTGGGTCGGGGCTCCCGAGACCCTGGTTCTGACCCTGCCCCCACCCTGTTTCCTGTGCAGATGAGCAACAAGCGGTCCAACAGCTTCCGCCAGGCCATCCTGCAGGGGAACCGCCGGCTCTGCAGCAAGGCCCTGCTGGAGGAGAAAGGGCTGAACCTCTCCCAGCGGCTCATCCGTCACGTGGCCTACGAGACCCTGCCCCGGGAGATTGACCGCAAGTGGTACTACGACAGCTACACCTGCTGCCCCCCACCCTGGTTCATGATCACCATCACCCTGCTGGAGGCAAGGACAAGGATGGGGAAGGGCCGCTCGGCCTCAGCACAGCCAGGGCGAGAGGATGTCTGAGTCCGTGAGGGGCAGGGCAGCATCTTCTCCACCAAAAGCCGATGGTTGAGGGAGGAGCCAGTAGCAGTTGTCATTGCAAGTCCAGCCCCAGTAAAGGGCTTGCAGTGTAGTCCTATTTCCTGGACCCCAAAGATCTTCCAAAGATTCTTACTTCAAGCAGTAGTCACTGCAGCAAAATCCCCATGTGACCAGCCCAGCTAAACAGTAACAACAAAAACAATGTAATAAGTTCACCGATTTGGGGGAGTTAGTCAGGCTAACTCACGAAAACCAATTTATTTTAGTTCCTCCCTGAGTGAGTAATGTGGACAGGTCATTTGCCCCCCTGGGACTCCATCCTCAGCCTGGGAAGCAGGAATAAGCAGGCCTGCCCTCCTTCTCCCGTAGGCCCCCTCCTGACCCAGAGAATGGAACACAAAAGCCTCCCACAAATGCATATGGGAGGGAGTGTTTCTGAACAGGTAAATATGGACTTAACACATTTTGAAAGAACAGCCTCCCCTTAGGGAATCATCCAGACCCATTGTTATTCTAAAAGTCTCCTGCTTCGCTATCAACAGAACCCAAAGGTACCCTTTTCTGAATCAGGGCCCATGCATGCGTGAGGAACTCTGAATTCTGTGGCCTGTTCAGCCCAAGAACCTGTGGGCCCCCTCCACCCCTAAATGGATGCTCGGCTTCCCTTTGGCGTTTTATAATCTTCACCGGTTTCTCTTCCAGAGCCACGGGCCTAATTACCACCCCTGCATATGTTCTTGCAAAGTTCCTAATCAGACGGCAGGATCGTTAAGCTTCATGGCATTCTTCTTTTTTCCTAAATGAGAATAGCTGGTCTGCAGGCCCAAGGCTTCTTCCAAGTTCACGTTGAAATTGAGATTTTTTTCTGAGATATTCTTGGACTCCTTCTCCAAATGCTTACTGTGTCGGTCTATTTATTAACTTCTATTTGAGGACCAATAATAACGAGCTGCCTTGGAAGCTGTATTTGTTGCCAGGCCACCCGCATCCTGTTAGGTGGACAGAACGGCTCCCCAGAGAGCCCAGGGGAGTCCAGCTGCTGGCGGGCCTGAGCCAGTCCAGGCTCCACCCAGGAAGCCCTAACCCGACGCTAATTACAGCTGCCTTCCCGAATTGCATGCCGGGCACCCGGCGGCGGGGCCTCCTGTATTTTATCTCTAAGCCAGTGGTTCTCAACCTTCTGGCCCTTTAAATACAGTTCCTCATCTTGTGACCCAACCATAAAATTATTTTCGTTGCTACTTCATAACTGTAATGTTGCTACTGTTATGAATCATAATGTAAATATCTGATATGCAGGATGGTCTTAGGTGACCCCTGTGAAAGGGTCGTTCGACCGCCAAAGGGGTCGCGACCCACAGGTTGAGAACCGCTGCTCTAAGCCTCATCACTACCCTGGAAGTATAGACATTCATATCCCCATTTCCAGGTCAGGGAATCGAGAACCAGAAAATTCAAATCATTTGTCCAAGGTTATCCAGAGAAGCCAGATTTTGTGTCCAGATTGGTTTCAAATTTCCATAAGCCTCAGCTATGTAAACTCAAACCACCATCCTAGAAGAAAATTTTGAAATAACTGTTTCAAAGCCCTTGTACAAAAGCCCAAGGCTTTTTGTTTTAAATACAGTTCTAGATACCCAGTTTTCTGATTCCATAACAGAGAAAATAGAAGGGACCCACTATTAACCAGCAATAAAAAGTAAGAACCTGACCTGGCTGGTTTGGCCCAGTGGATAGAGTGTCGGCCTGGGGACTGAAGGGTCCCAGGTTTGATTCCGATCAAGGGCACATGCCTGGGTTGCAGGCTCCATCCCCAGGAGGGGGCATGGAGGAGGCAGCCAATCAACGATTCCCTCTCATCATTGATGTTTCTATTCCTCTCTCCCTCTCCCTTTCTCTCTCTGAAATCAATTTAAAAAACATTTAAAAGTAGACCTGTGTCTTTTTTGTTGTTGTTCGTTTGTTTTTTGTTAATCCTCGCCTAAGGATATTTTTCCATTGATTTTTAGGGAGAGTGGAAGAGAAAGGGAAAGACAGAAAGAAACATCAATGTGAGAGACACCGATTGGTTGCCTCTTGCACGATCCCTGACCAGGACCCAGGCCAGGGAGGAATCAAACCCAGGACCCTTTGGTCTGCAGGCTGACGCTCTAGCCAATGAGCCAAACTGGCGAGGGCTAGCCCTGAGTCTTAAACACAAGAATTTGGGGCCATTTAGTTGTAGGAGGGAAGCCCCATCAATTGCTGGAGAAGACATCTCACTCCCGGTGCCCAGCTCTGTACCTGAGGCATCCTTAAGAGATTATGCACATACCTGATTAAGAACAATAGGAACATGAATGATGCATTTTAGAAAGAGTTCCAGAAAAAAAATAGTTAAATACCCTTTTAGGGCTTACGTTAGTGTGCTGTAGTCATTTGCATAGTCTGCTTATGCAGGGTGGTGGTGAGGATGCAGAGAAATTGGGACCCTTGTGCCCTGTTGGCGGGAGTATAACATGGTGCAGCCGCTATGGGAAACAGTACGGCGATTACTCAGAAAATTGAACAGAATTACCACGTGATCCAGCAATTCCACTTCTGTGTGTATATACCCAAAATAAATTGAAAGCAGGGACTCAAGGAGATATTTGTACACCCATGTACATAACAGCATTATTCACAGTAGTTAAAATGTGAGGCAACCCAAATGTTCATCAACAGATGAATGATAAGCAACACGTGGCTTACTCATACAATGGGAACGTTACGCGTCCTCAGAAAAGGAAGGACATTTTGGCCTAATCAACAACATGGATGAACCTTGGTGACATTATACTAAGTGAAATAAGCAGAAGTCGAGTTACCTAGAGTAGCCAAATTCATAGAGACAGGAAGTAGAATGGTGGTTGCCAGAGATGGGGAAAGGAGAATGGGAGGCTAATGCTAAATGGCTACGGAGTTTCAGTTTTGCAAGGTGAAAAGACTTCTGTGGGCGGATGGTGGTGATGGTTGCCTAACAATTTAAATGAACTTCATGCCACTGAACTGTACACTTAAAACTGATTTAGACGGTAACTTGTATTTCTATGTATTTTACCATAGGTGTTTTTTTTAAATCAACTTGTGTGGCATTGCCTTATCCCCCAGATGGGTATGTTCTTTATTATTGGGATTAAAGTTTAAAGTCCTCCAAACCCTTCCTGCTTAGCCCCAAGGCAGTGTGGGCCGAGATCACGTGACCATGTTGTGAATAGCTAAGGGAAAATAGTCAAACAGAAGTGGGGTGGAGATGGTGGAAGGCGAGGCTGAGCGCTGGCCACGGGGGAGTGCCTCATTCTCTGAGAAGGAAAGATGACAACTTCCAGCAAGGATTCCGAGTGTTAGCACCAGAGGGTTCCTGGGCAGTTTTGCACTTGGTAATAAGCCCCCTCCGTCCTGTGCTTCCACCCAGGTGGCCTTTTTCCTCTACAACGGAGTGTCACTGGATCAGTTTGTGCTGCAGGTGACCCACCCCCGGTACCTGCAGAACGCACTGGTTTACCACCCACAGCTCCGAGCACAGGCGTGGCGCTACCTGACGTACATCTTCATGCACGCGGGGTGAGTACCTGTCTTCTTTCCCTCTATCAAGAGTCCCTATGGAAGAAGAAGTAGCCCCGATAGCCTGGATTGAAATAGAGTTTTTAGTTTGTCTCCCTGGACACAGGATTTGAGGTGACTTCTTGAAACTCATCTAATACCAAAATATATGAGTTATCGGGAGTGTATGGGAAAGGGGAAACACAGAGAGTAAAATGCTCACATGCCACAGTGAAATCAGCACAAACATCCATAGCATGTGAGTCTATGTACTTGCTAGAGGTCGGTTATAAACTTCTTCTGAGCTTCCTAGTGGCCAAAGCAAAGAGGGAAATGTGGCCAGCTGCCAGATTCATTGTCCGTAAACTGTGTTGTGTGTGAGTGCCCCCACCAGTGAAATCAAGGACAGATTTCTTGAAACTGCCGTCTCCCCAGAGTGCTCTCCATACATGGTGTGGGTCTTCTTGAGGAATTTGGCAATACTTACTGTTCTGTTTACAGAGCCTTGTGGCCTCGTTTAGGGCTGGAGAGCAGTCAGTTCTCCCTGGTGCCTCTTACCCAGGATCAGGCCAGCTGACTACTCAGGTCCAATTCCCTTAAAAAGCACTATCTTGGCTGGAGACCATTTTTACGTAGTAGAAGTGCTGAGTTAAAAAAGCAGAGTCCCTTGGCCCCCAACCTCTATGGTGTCTTCTACAGCCTCTCCAGGGAGAGAAGCAAAGGGGCTCACTGTTAGTCTGGGGCAGCCCTGGGGGGTGCCTGTCCCTGGGGTTGGATGTGGAAAGAGGATCGCTCTGGCCCCCGAGGCTCCAGCACTCTTGTTCCTCGGCGGAAAGACCCACAGTGGCCAAGAGGGAGCCCCACTGTGAGCCGCCCTTCCTGCTGAGCCTCTAAATGGCACCAGTGCCAGCCCCTGATTGGCTGCACCTGCTGGGAAGGGCTGGGTGAGGAGACTTTCTGATGGTTCCGATGGACGCCTCCACGCTGAGCCAGAGGGGACTGTGCCGCAGCTGTTGGCCTTGCCTGCTGTCCCAGGCTTTGATCTCACGGGGCTAAGGAGCAGAGGGAGGGAGGCGTGTCATGTATCAGTCTTCTCATGAGTCAAGATTTGGAGGCAACAGGAAGCAGGAACGTCCCTGGCCAGGCCCAAGCCCGTGGGTACACGTGGGTTGAGACTATCTGCCTTATTCGCAGGACCGCCCTCTGGCCTCCCCTGATCCGGTGAGGTAAGGAGGGAGAATGGACAATGTCTCCAAGGCCTCCTTGTCCATTCTTTGCCTCCAAGAGCTGAAAGGCCGGAGTGGCCAGAGCACAGATGCTCCCCCCGGAGGCACAGGGGTGGCCTCGAGCCTTTCTCTGGCCGTTGCTTCTCCTGGAGCTACGCCTGTCCCAAAGAGCCCAGGCCTGTGACCTTGAGGGAGGGGCTCCTGGCTGGTGCCACAGGAGACAGGAGATAGGGAGAGCTGGCCAGCATCTAGGGAAAGCCCGCAGGGAGATCCATTACTCAGGGGCACACTCCAGCCCATGAATTCAGAAGTCACTGTGGTTGAGCCCAGCTGTCGTGGCTCAGTGGTTGAGCCAGGAGGTCACGGTTTGATTCTTGGTCAGGGCACATGCCCAGGTTGCAGGCTCGATCCCCAGTGTGGGGCGTGCAGAAGGCAGCCGATCAATGACTCTCTCATCATTGATGTTTCTATCTCTCTGTCCCTCTCCCTTCCTCCCTGAAATCAATAAAAATACACTTTTTTTTTTTTTTTAGTTACACGGTACTAGGATAGAATGAACCAACTCAGTAGCTTCTGAGGCTAATACATGTCTATCACCACAATTACTTTAGTAAACCTGGTTCCCTTCACTTTAAAAATACACTTTTTAAAAAAGAAATCACTGTGGTTGAGAAGAAAGAGGTCGGATTGGGAGGCAGGAGCTCTGGGTTCTCCTCACCTGGCCTCTTCTAGTCTCAAGTTCTAGGCTGTAAACCAAGGAGACGGGAGCAGAAAACCTCTGAGGTCCCTCTGTCTATGAATCTGAGGCTACGACCCAGCTCCTTTTCAGTAAATTTTTCTGACATTCCTAATCTAGGGTCCTCTGGCTGGCACAGTCGGGGGGTCGGGGTGGGGAGCCAGAAGATTGCAGGGATGGTGGGAATTTGGGACAGAGCCTGACCTGAGTCATGTGCTGCCTCACAGGCACCCTCCCGGATCGGCAGATACCCGAGCCTGCAGGCCAGGCAGCATCCAGACCCCTTGTTACATGCTCTGTTACCCTATAACTTACGCTTCCCCAGGGAGCTGTCCAGCTGCTCAGTTTATATGAGATAATGGATGTTAAAGTGCTTTGTAAACCTGAAAGCACACACCAATGTAATAATAGTAATGTTACGATATTTTCTAGTAACATGCACTCAGCTAGACACCATTTAGCAACAAGATCTGGTCACATGATAGGGTAAAAAAAGGCAGAAACCCTAACCCTGAGAGTTTCAGGCCTGATGGGTCCCCGCCACCAGGAGGGAGAGGCCTCCCCCGTGAGATGTTAAGTGATAGCTGAATTACTAAGCTCGGAGACACATCTCTGATGCTTGCACTTGTTTTGAAAACACCTCTCTCTTTATTTTTATTTTTTAATGTATTTTTATTAATTTCAGAGAGGAACGGAGAGGGAGAGAGCGAGATAGCAACATCAGTGATGAGAGAGAATCATTGATTGGTTGCCTCCTGCATGCCCCACACTGGGGATCGAGCCTGCAGCCCAGGCATGTGCCCTGACTGGAAATCGAACCGTGACCTCCTGGTTCATAGGTTGACGCTCAACCACTGAGCCACGCTGGCCAGGCAACATCTGTCTCCTTAAATATCAGTAGCTCTTATAGATACAATAGCAAGCCAGCGTGCCCTCGGGACCTGGTGAATGGAGCAGGGCCTGCACATCAGAGACCTGGGCTGTGCTACCAGCCCGGTCACAAACCAGCTGAGTGACTCCAAGCTGGTCAGTGCCCCTCTCTGAGCCTTGGCTTTTCATGTGTCAGCCAATGGGGTTGCTGGGTCTTGACCACAGTTAGCCTCTCACTGTGGCCAGTGCAGACACTGCCAGTTACCACCCAGGCCCTGCACGTGTTCTCGCCTCAGGTGGCGGGGAAAGGTGTAGAAGGAACGCTCTTTCCAAGACGATCTGTCTCTTTTGTGACTCCTGCCCCCACCATCCCAGACCACGAGTTCCTCAAAGGCAAGGTATAGGGTCTTGCTCACTGCTGGACCCCCGGCATCTTGGCACACAGTGTTTGTCAAATAAACGAATGGGTGACTGGATGAATGAATGGGGTGTGGTCTCTCCATACAGGATAGAACACCTGGGCCTCAATGTGGTGCTGCAGCTCCTGGTGGGGGTGCCCTTGGAGATGGTGCATGGAGCGACCCGCATTGGGCTGGTCTACGTGGCTGGTGTGGTGGCAGGTAGGCAGGTGGGCTCTCTGACTATAGGAGAAACCTCCCCAGGGTGGCTGGGACTCCCCATGGGGTCAGGCAAGCCCCAGGCTTTCAGAGGGCCCAGGACCCTCATCACCGAAGCTCCTGACTATTAGGCTTGCTCTCCAGACAAATCTCCCCACCTCCTTGGGGAATCTAGAAAGGAGCCTGCCACCCAGAGAAGGAGGCATGTGATGGCAAAGGAGAGGAGAGCACAGGATTTGGAACACCATGTTGCAGCTGTGTGAGCTTGGGGAAATTCCTTAACCTCTCTGGCCCCATTAAGCATTAAGCGTGAACTAATAAGGCAGGTGAACTAATAACGTGAACTAATAACGCTCCTGCAGGGCGTTAGGAGTGAGGTGACACATGGAGTGACAGTGTTACATAAACTGCAAGGGCACAGTGAGATCCCTGTAGGGACATCCAAGGTGTGGGGGAAGTGAGGTGCCTCCCTGGCCAGGCCAGTCCCTGTCCCCAAAGGCAGATCTTGCCTCTGCTCAGCTGGCCACTGTCCCCTTGATTGACTCACCACTGACAGGAGAGAGTCTGGCCTAAAAGGTGGTAAGCATCCGTGCCAGCCCAGCCATGAGTCTGGGCCCCCACTGACTTGGCTCACGTGGCAGGTGATCATGGCCTTGAGCACAGGGCAGCCTGAATGCCCCCTTCCCTCCGAAGTGCGGGGTGAGGCGGGCCGGAGTGAGCTGAGGAGAGCAGAGCAGGCTGTGCAGGAAGCATCTGCACCAGCTGGGCCTCCGAACAGAGCAACCTCTCCCATGATGTTCCCAACTTCATTGCCGGATTTTTTATAACAAGGTTTGCCGCCTCAGCTCTTCACCTTGACAGCTGAGCCCAAGGGAGCTTTGTGTGTGTGTGTTTAAGTAAGATCTTAATCCTTCCTGAGGAGCATTAAGCTTGTCATCAGGAGAGTGGGGCACCGTCAGCCTTGTAAACAACATGCAGGCAGGGACTCCAGGAATAACTGAAGTGGCTTCAGGCATCGAAAGGGGAAGGGTCTCACGCCTGCCAGGCAGGGCCGGTCTGCCGGTTCCTGAACCCTCAGCCTGGATGTTGGTCCAGTGCCGGCTCCTTCGCTCCTCTGTGAGCTGCGGTGAAAGCCGTGGGTACCTTGGACAGCACCCACGCCCGCTTGGCCCAGAATCCGGCACCTCCCACACCCTTGTGCGAAGGTCTAATGAGCACCTCTGTGCTCTGTGCTAGACTCACTCAGCCACCCACGCACCCCCCGAGCCTTGACATCTGGGGATTTATAGCCACACTTTCCAGACCTAGTGCTCAGAGACCCAGATGGTTAATGATGAGGAACAGGAAAGACACTCAGACACTCGCAGTCAGTAGTCGAGGAGATGGGAGAGCCAATAACCCAGAAGAGAGAAATAAGATTCCAAATGACTCACGCCCCACCAAGACCAGACGACGCACAGCGGGGAGACAGTGCAGGTATCTTCGCAGCAATGCCCGTGCAGAGCGGGACAGTGCACAGACAGAGGGGGAGCTTGCCAGCTAAATACGAGGGTGTGGGGCTGTCACCAAGCAATGATGTGTGCTGTTCTGAGTCATCGCTCAGGCTCAAGGGCACTTTCGTCACACCACGTCATGCTATTTATCTCCTAGATTGATCTGACTGATCTGCCCGTACCCCTCCCTTCCTTTCCGCTCAGAAAGGGGATCCATTCACAGACAGCTAGACCCTGACCGGACAGCCAGTAATTAAGTGCCTACCCTACAGGCCATATTTTTTTTTTTTAAATACATTTTATTGATTTTTTACAGAGAGGAAGGGAGAGAGATAGAGAGTTAGAAACATCGATGAGAGAGAAACATCGATCAGCTGCCTCCTGCACATCTCCCACTGGGGATGTGCCCGCAACCCAGGTACATGCCCTTGACCGGAATCGAACCTGGGACCCCTCATTCCGCAGGCCGACGCTCTATCCACTGAGCCAAACCAGTTTCGGCCCTACAGGCCATATTTTATTCAATCCTCACAAAAAGTCCATGAGGCAGGTACTATTACTCTTCGCCTGTTACAGATACAGAAACCAAGGCTTAGAAAGCCTAAGTGACTTGCCCAGGAAGGGCCACAGTAGAAAGTGGTGTAGCTGGGCTCCAACCCAAGTGGTCTAACCCCAAGGCTGTGCTCAAAACCAGAGCCATCTTACAAGAACCAAAAGGCATGCGTTCTCCTTTGTGCAGATAATTTAATTGTCAGAACCCAAGGAAGGTCTTTATAGACATCAGGCCCTGCTCTTTCATTCCTGCCCAGTGAAAATATTCTAAATCCAAGGCTGGCACAGTTTGTAACAAGGAGAGCTTACCCCTGCTGAGCACGTCGGGTTCCGGGCATGCGATAAAGGGTTCACACGTGCCCTTTGCTGTACCCATCACAACCATCCAGAGAGGGGCCACTGTCCCCTCCCCCCCCCCCCATGTTGCGGACACTTCAGAACCATGGAGTGACTTGTGCAATTTGCTCAGCTAAGAAGGGCTAGACCTGGGGTAGAGGTTCTTCTCCGCCCTGTGCTTCCGGCCAATACTGGAGGCCCATGTGTATTTCACTCTGGTTAACAATTAAATGGCCAACCCTTTCAACACTGTAAAAACTAGTATCTCCAATGTTCCACCAAGCTTTTATTATAGACTAAAGGCCCGGTGCACAGAATTGTGCACCGGTGGGGTCCCTCAGCCTGGCCTGCACCCTCTCGCAATCTGGGACCTCTTGGGGAATGTCAGAGAGCTGGTTTCAGCCCGATCCCTGCAGGCCAGGCCGAGGGACCCCACCGGTGCACGATCGGGGCCAGGGAGGGACCACAGGAGGGCTCCAGGGCTTGTCTTGCCTGTCTCGCCCAGTCCCAATCACTGGACCTCAGCGGCAAGCTAACCTAATGGTCAGAGCAGTCCCTGAGGGAAGTCAGTGCCACAAAGGGAGGGTAGGTGGGTCCAGACTTATTACCTTCAAGATGCTAGAACCTCCCAGTTGGCAGGGCTCAGTCATTGAGCGTCAGCCTATGAACCAGGAGGTCATGGTTTGATTCCTGGTCAGGGCACATGCCCGGGTTGTGTGCTCCATCCCCAGTGTGGGGCGTGCAGGGGGGCAGCTCATCAGTGATTCTCTCTCATCATTGATGTTTCTAGCTCTCTAGCGTTCTCTCTCTCTCTCTCCCCCCCCCTTCCTCTCTGAAATCAATAAAAATATAATTTTTAAAAAATATGCTAGAACCAGGGTCTGAGACTCAAATTACTGAATTTCTCATTTGAAAGGGACCTTTAAGGCCCCCTCCTGTGGGCGGCAAACTTTGCTCCCCAGACCCCTCCCCATTCAGCTGACATCTGCGCTCTGCTCCTTGGTGTAGGATGTGGGTAAGGTTTCCTTTGAAAAAAGGGTTTCACTGCTCAAAAGTTGGAAAGCCTGAGACCTCCTCATCTCAACAAATATTTGTGATGTGAAAACTGAAGCCCAAAGAATTCAGGGGCTGTGTCCAAGTCACACAGCTAGCCAGCCACACCCCCATTCCATGCTTCTTCCACAATCCCAGGATGACCCCTGGCCCTGGGGTCAGGACTCTGATCCACGGGTAGGGTGAGGGAAAGGTCAGTGAGGGGCTCCCTGGGGGCCCTGCTGATGTCTCTGTCCCTGGTGGACCACACTGGGGAGGCCGAGGGAGCAGAAGCTGGCGGGTTTGTAGGGACTTGTGCTGAGGGAAGAGGCCAGCCCAGGGAGGCTCTCTCTGTCCCTGCGGTAATTAATGAGGAGCAAGCTGAAGAGCAGGGCGGCTTGGGCAGCCAGCCCTCGCTGCCCTGCAATGCAGCCTTGTCAGCCAGCCCGGCAGGAGAGCGTGGGAATCCTTTGTCATGCAGATCCTGCCGCCCGTCTGTTTGCCACCCTGAGATTTTTCCCCCCTGTTCTATATGGGTGACCCTGTGGCTAGGCAGTACAAAAAAAAAAGTTATCTGACAATAGATCAATACCTAATTAAAGCCTGAGGGAAGGCATGAAAGAGGAGAGGAGAGATTTATAGCTGCCCTGGGAGGGCAGAGGGACTTGGGAGTTCTCAGTTTATAGTTTGTGTTTCCCTGGGAAATTACATCCCCCTTGAGACCAAGAACCTGTCATGGGGATCCCTTCTTTGGCTGAGCTCAGTGAGCCCGGGGGCCTTGAGAGGGGTGGGGCGGGCACCTGGGGAGAAAGGGATGATGTTACAGGGGCTCTCGGAGCCCCAGGTATCAGTGCTCCGGTTCCCAGTTCCCGGCTGGGCTCAGCCACTGCCTAAGTAGTGGGCCCTCCACCCCTATGGAACCTGCAGAATTTGGCCTTCTGCCTGTCCCTCCTCTCTCCACCCTGGCAGCAGCTAATTGGCTCATGAGCCCGCAGGCATTTTCCAGTGGTGAATTCTGCACACTTCCCAGGCCAGCTACCTCTCATCCTCCGGGCCCTGGGCTCTACCTCCCAGTTATTTTTAGTCTCTGTGCCCTTCCCTCGAAGCCAAAGCATTGATCACACTTAAATGAGACCAGAACAATACATTTCCCAGCTCTTCTCCCCCAGCTTTCCTCCCAGGACAAAAGTTTGTCATCCCCCAGACCAAGAGTCCATGCCTGTCTTTCCCCCAGAGGCTGTGACATCATCTCTCTCTTCCTGGAGACTTTTCAAGGGCATTTTTTTTTCCTTCCAAAGATGCCCCATTTGCTCTGGAAACTTTTTGGCCTTCTGTGATTTCCCTCGGCTGGAGGGAGGTTGGAGGTGACCTAAGCAGGTTTCTAGATGCCACTGAGCAGAGAGCGATGGCAGAGGGTGGTTAACTTCTGGACCAGTGTGGGGAGTGGCCACTATCAAGGCTAAGACCTGGACTCAAATGCAGGTTCCGGCTCTTCCCACCAGGGGAGCCATGAGGCTACTAGCACCTTTCTCAAAGGGCTGTCTTGAGGGTTCAAGGGGAGAATGAATGTATGTAAAATGCTTGGCCGGTGTTTGACACACAGTGCCCCGTAGGCGGTACCTGTTTTTGCAGTAACTACCTCTGTAATTTTTTTAAAATGTATTTTTATTGATTTCAGAGAGGAAGGGAGAGGGAGAGAGAGCTAGAAACATCAATGAAGAGGGAGAATCATTGATCGGCTGCCTCCTGCACGCCCCCTACTGGGGATTGGGCCCGCAACCCGGGCAGGTGCCCTTCAGTCCCCAGGCTGATGCTCTATCCACTGAGCCAAACCAGCTGGGCTACCCCTGTAGTTTTTGTTATTGCTCCAGAACCCCGAGACGGCACATTGGAAAGCAGAGGTTGGATTGAGAGGCAAATATTTGCTTTCCTTTGTTGAGCCTTTGTTTCCCTGCTGTAAAACAGTGGTTCTCAACCTTCCTAATGCCGCGACCCTTTAATACAGTTCCTCATGTTGTGGTGACCCCCAATTTCATTGTTACAAATTGAACATAATTAAAGCATAGTGATTAATCACAAAAACAATATGTAATTATATATGTGTTTTCTGATGGTCTTAGGCGACCCCTGTGAAAGGGTTGTTCGACCCCCAAAAGGGGCGCGACCCACGGGTTGAGAACCTCTGCTGCAAAAGGAAAAGTTGGAATCAAATGGTTCTTTCAGCCCTAAATGAATCCTTAGGGAGCTCCAAGGTAACATGAAGTCGAAGGAGGAAGAGAAGGAGCCTTTTGCTCTGGAGTCTTACCCCCAAGACTGAGGCATCTGAGGGTCTGAAATGGGGATGAGGAGCCGCCGCCAGCATTCTTGAATTCTCTCTCTGCCCCAGGATCCTTGGCGGTGTCTGTGGCTGACATGACCGCGCCCGTCGTGGGCTCCTCTGGAGGGGTGTACGCGCTTGTCTCTGCCCATCTGGCCAACATCGTGATGGTGAGCACCTCGCCCCCAGCATGCCTTCTGTGGCCTCCCCTTACCTGTCTCCAGGCCCAGGTGTGAATAGGGTGGGGCCGGGTTTGGGATCCTCATCCACGCTCCAGCGCAGACCCCTCAAGTGCTGGGCAGACCTTGCTGGTAGCAGAGTTCCCAGAGACTCTCACCCTCTGCAGGCCTGTTGCAAACGGGGCTCCTCAGGACACGATTCGTATCTACTCCAGTTATGGCTTTGCTGAGGAATCAGCCGTCTCCCTCTTCCGCCTCTTTCCCACTCGGTGACTTTAAAAAGCGTTAAAATTCTTGACCACTGGCACACATCCTAATTGTAATTCGTTGTTTGCCATAGATCGCTAAAAATAAAGGGACCTTAGAGGTCATCACATCAAAATTCTCCAATTAAAAAGAAGGCTCTGAGTCCTGGCTGGTGTGTCTAAGTGGTTAGAGGGTCAGTCTGGGCACTGGAGGGCTCCAGGTTCAATTCCAAGTCAAGGGCATGTACCTTGGTTGTGGATTCGCTCCCCGCCCCAGGTCGAGGCACGTGTGGGAGGCAACCAGTCGATGTGTCTCTCTCACATCAATGTTTTTCTCTTTCTTCCTTCCCCCCTTCACCCCCCCTTTCATCCCTCCCTTTTGCTCTCTCTGAAAAACAATGGAAAAAATCCTCATGGCTCAGTGGTTGAGCCTCGACCTATGAACCTGGAGGTCATGCTTCAATTCCCAGTCAGAGCACATGCCCAGGTTGCGGCTAAATCCCCAGTGTGGGGTGTGCAGGAGGCAGCCAATCAATGATTCTCTCTCATCATTGATGTTTCTATCTCTCTCTCCCTCTCCCTCTCTGAAATCAATAAAAATATATTTAAGAGAAAAGGAAAAAAAAATCCTCAGGTGAGGATTAAAAAAAAAAAGAAGAAGGCTCTGATATGTTATGGAATTTATCCAAAGTCACAGCCAGCCATTCCATTTCTCACTCTCTGCTTTGCCTTTTCCTGAATTGTCATAGCGTTTAATGCAGTGGTTCTCAACCTGTGGGTCGCGACCCCTTTGGAGGTCGGACGACCCTTTCACAGGGGTCGCCTAAATACATCCTGCATATCAGATATTTACATTATGATTCATAACAGTAGCAAAATTACAGTTATGAAGTAGCAACAAAAATAATTTTATGGCCAAGACCGGTTTGGCTCAGTGGATAGAGCATCGGCCTGCGGACTGAAAGGTCCCAGGTTCGATTCTGGTCAAGGGCATGTACCTTGGTTGCGGGCACATCCCCAGTGGGGAGTGTGCAGGAGGCAGCTGGTCGATGTTTCTCTCTCATTGATGTTTCTAACTCTCTATCTCTCTACTTTCCTCTCTGTAAAAACTCAATAAAATATATTTTAAAAGAAATAATAATTTTATGGTTGGGGGTCACCACAACATGAGGAACTGTATTAAAGGGTCGCGACATTAGGAAGGTTGAGAACCACTGGTACTGGTTAACAGCGTGGGTTATGGAGCGAGGCAGCCTAGATCTGAATCCCAGCCACTCACTTCCTAAAGAGTGACCTTGGGCATATGACTTCACTGCCTCAGTTTCTACATCTGCGAAATGGGATGCTATGTGATAAGTGGGATAAAGTGAGCCCCCGCCGGTTTGGCTCAGAGGATAGAGCATCGGCCTGCGGACTGAAGGGTCCCGAGTCCGATCTGGTCAAAGGCACATGCCCGAGTTTTGGGCTCGATCCCTAGTAGGGGGCATACAGGAGACAGCCAGTCAATGATTCCCTCTCATCATTGATATTTCTAGCTCTCTCTCCCTCTCCCTTCCTCTCTGAAATCAATAAAAATATATTTAAAAAAATAAAAGTAATGGGATAAATGAAAGTAACCGCTCAGTATAAGTGCTAACCTAATTCCCTGATCCTCACAAAAGACACCAGGGTAGAAATAAAAATTCACCTGATAGCCCTGACCGGTTTGGCTCAGTGGGTAGAGCATCGGCCTGCGGACTCAAGAGTCCCAGGTTCGATTCCTGTCAAGGGCATGTACCTTGGCTGCGAGCACATACCCAGTAGCGGGTGTGCAGGAGGCAGCTTATCGATGTTTCTCTCCCATCGATGTTTCTAACTCTCTATCCCTTTCCCTTCCTCTCTGTAAAAAAATCAATAAAATATATTTAAAAAAATAAAAGAATTCACCTGATAGTTTCAGAGGAGATCAAGGAAGACTGCACCTTGTTTTGGACGGAGCCTGAAGTTTAGAGGCCGAAGGAGGCGTCACTGGCGGCAGTGGTTGGCCCACTCTGGCTAATGGCCCTGCTGGCCTGGGAGCCTCCGGGCAGGTCCCAGGTCTTACGCATCTGTTTCCCCAGTGCCTGGGGCAGGGCTGGACACGTGGTAGATAATGCTACTAATTTCACTGAATGAGGAATGAATGAACGAACGAACGAACGGTGTCCAGAAAAGGCATCGCTTCTCTTTGGGGTCCTCCAGCCCTTGCCCCCCTCCTCCAGCACTATCCCCACCACGTGGTAGGTGTGACTACTCAGTTACAATCGTTTATGGATTCTCCCATTTCATCTTTGTCATTGCCACTCTCACCTGCCCCACTCCTCAGCACCATCCCTGTACTTTTCACCGAAGTCCCCTTTGCACATCGAGAGAGAGTGTGAAAGGGAGAAAGGAGAGAAGAGAAGAGAGAGGGGAAGAGGGACGCACAGACCGACACTGACTCTACTTGCTACTTGCCTGAATTTTGTTAACTGCAAGTGAGCACTTGGAGAACTACAGCAGGCTCGGGAAAGCCCGTGTGCATGTGCGTCTGTGCGTGTGTGTTTACTCACGTGCACACGCGCACACACGGCTTGGCCTGCGGAGAACCTGGAGCGCGGTGCCGCGTCGCGTGCCCCTCCTAAATGGGCCATGCTGTGTCAGTGCCACCACTTTCCCCAGACACAGCTTTTTCTCTGAGTCCCGCCTCCTCCACTCCCCCCTCCTCCTGCCCCAATTCCTTCTGCCTGGGAAGGAAATGCTAACCACCCCCTCCTCTTCCCCCCAAGATATGTCTGTATGAAAGGGGAATGAACAAGCACCACCAAGAGAACACGAGAGAGAAGAAACAGACAGGAGCTCGTAAAGATGCCTGGCTCCTGCCCCTTCCCCACCGCCTGGGAAACAGCCCTGATGCCCTGGGAGTTCCCATGGTGAGGGCAGACCACCCTGAGACCAGAGGGGTAGGGCGCGAGGTTGAGGAGAGAGGCGTGAAAGCAGTCTTGTTTCAGTTCACGCTTCTCTCTGGCAAGGAGCCCGTGCCTGTGGCCGTGATGAGCAGCCGGGGCCCAGAACCCGTTGCCCTTCCAGAAGGACACGGCTCTGCCCGGCCAGCGGGGAGCTTCGCAGTCCCCAGAGCATGACTCACGGCGGCCTCTCCCTAGAAAGTTGTGTGGTGCTTATTTGACAGTGAAAAACAATCTCATTTTAAAAGGTTGGTTTCCTTTCGTCCAGAGGCCACCTGTACCCAAATTAGCTCGGCGCCCAGCATTTCAGAGATGCATTGGGTCCAACCATATGAAGTTGCCGTTTCTTTGGGTCAGAAGCACTTAAATATCAGCAATTTCCTGTAGTCCAACCGAATAAATATGCCATTGATTTTAATTCCAAAATGAAGATTGGTCTGTGTGTGTGCACACAGTAAAACACCTCGTCAGAACAGAAAGGAGAAAAAGTGTGGACTTGACAGCAGAAAATCTGGATTTGAATATGAGCGTCGCCGTTGTAATAGCTGTGAGTTCCTTAACTTTTTAGGGCCTCAGTTCTCTTACCTGTAATCCCTTCTTCACAAGGTAGAGAAAGACATGAAAAAATGGATGAGAAAATGCTTTCCACTGGCAAGTCTCCACATAGCTGGGAGGTCCTGTATGTGTGTGTGTTTATATATATGTGTGTACACATACAATTAAAAAAAAAAAAAGAGGGAGAGGGAGAGAGAGAAACATCGATGTGAAAGAGAAACATGGTCGATTGCTTACGGTATACACCCAGACTGGATACCGAACCTGAAACCTGGGCATGTGCCCTGATCAGGAATCGAACCAGCGACCTCCTGGTGCACAGGATGACCCTCAACCAACTGAGCCACACCAACCAAGGCCAGTCTTTTATCTGAATAAATTCTGCCTGTATCTGCACAGAGAAAGATCAGAAAATGTGTCCCTTTGGCTCTAGATACATAATAGAAAAATGTTTGACACTTGTGTTCTCAGGACTACCCGATTAAATGAGAGGTTTCGCCTTAAATCAAAGCCTGTCTTATTTTACATAAAAACACGTTGAGTTTCAAAAAGCTTGCAGTTTACACCCACAGATTAAACTCAGAAACTGTTTCAACAAAAGGCCTGGATGCCCCAATCCAGACTTCTCATTTTAAACACTGGAAGCATGGAGATGCGCGTAATTGAATAATTTATTAATTGCCTTTTGCTGAGGGCTCTAGGCCAGATTTCCATTTTTGAATATGCCAGATATTTGCTCACACTTGGCTCCACGTGATAGATGTTTTCCTTAAATGTTGGAGGCCTGAATTTTCACGAATTGAATCATATTGTCAAAGCACAAGGCAAGACTGTTGTCAAAATGTCACCAACAAATTCTGTGTCGTAAGGTTCACTTTATTAAGTAAAACTCCTGTTGTAGGACAGATACTCACTCCCTAATTTATCTGTGTCATGCTTTCCCGTCTCCTGTGTTGGTTTTTCTTGAAGTCTTTAAACAAGAAACTGTTTCTGCCCGGGATATGGAACGGGAAGCTCCCTGCCTGGGTGTCAGCCTCTGAGCGCTTAACCGGGTAGGTGAGCAAGGTGCCCAGGGTACCGGTGACTGCCTTGGGTGCCATCGCACCTACAGGGCTCTGGGAGAGAGTGAAATTAAAAGGTTTGTATTCCCCAGGGGTCCACAGGCTTTTCAACATTTATCGCAGCAGGAGTGCTGGCTGTGTGTGTGTGTGAGATGGTTTTTCTTCTC